AGACATCCACTTTGACAGCCGCTGTCAAAATGGACATCCGTAAGGTAAGTGTGAGGATAGAAAAGGGTAAGGTGCCAGGTAGGGAGGGAGGCTGAGTGCCAAGTAAGTAAGGCCCGAGCTAAATAGGGTAAGATGGCAAGGGGGCTAACTAATAATTGGAGCATTTAGGGTGGGCCAGGGTGGGTGGGAGATATTGACTTCCCACAGGCCAGGGGAGGACGACAATGTCAAATCCTGGGGAGATCGAGTCCAGAGAAGGGAAGGAGGATAGTTTCTGGGTGGGGGTAAGGGGATTCTCATGTCAAGGTTTATGCGGTATAAGGAGTCAGGGAGTGATGTAGTTGGGAATGTGTGACGTAGGTTTGGGGGTCAGAGTCTCAGTCGTATAAAGGCAACATGGTGGCTCAGTGGTTAGCACTGCTCCCTCACAGTGCAAGGGACCTGGGTTCGATTCAACCCTCAGGCAACTGTCAGTGTGAAGTTTGCACATTCTCCCCGAGTCTGTGCAGGTTTCTTCCAGGTGCTCTGGTTTCCGCCTAAAGTCTAAAGATGTGCAGGTTAGGGTGGATTGGTCAGGCTAACTTGCCCATAGTGTCCAGGGATGTGCAGGGTATGTGGTTTAGTTATGGTAAATGCAGGGTTACAGGGACAGGGTAGGGAGGTGGGTCTGGGAGGGATGCTGTTCGGAGGGTTGGTGTGGAATCGATGGGCTGTGGCGATTCTGTGAGTCAGGAAGTGGTGTAGTGTGGGGTGTGTGAGCTAGGTTTGGGGATCACTTGAATAACTACTCAGGATACTTCCAGAAGCTCCCAGCGAAATCTTCGATTTCCTGGGTAATTAATTTGGAGTGTTATACAATGGGGATTCCACAGGGTCCCCATGTGTAATCATCTTTACAGTTCAGCAGTCCCCAGAGCAGGAGACGAAAGTCCTGAGAAGCTCCAGAACAGGAAGCTGTAAATAAGGAGTTTAGGAAACTCATGCAGGATATAGGAGAGCTGTGTTGGCGTATCGTTTAAGGGTCTCAGGAAGAGACATTAATTAAAGAAGATAGCATCAAAGAATACAGACATTTGCCACAAACAGAAGTACAGCTGTGCCAATGAAACAAGTAAGTTTAAAGTGGAAAGTAAGTGATAGCTGAGGTGTGACTATCGGTAAGGTGGTTGTTCAAGGAAAAATGGTCAAATTATTTTTGTTGATATTTGTAATAAGAACATTTGAAATAATTCTTACATTGTGCAGTGTAGTTTTTTCCTTTGGTGTGTAATATGTTTTGATGTTCTTTTGTTAAAAGTACATTAGCAGCCTCTTCTGAGTACATTCAGTGACTGACCATCACAGTAACCAAATTGCAAATAGAAAAGCTATGATCTATCAAAGCCGGGTTTCACTCTGGGATCTGTCTTATCTAGTATTATCAACTGAGATTGTAACATCCATCTACTCATATTATATTTTGACTTTAAATTTTTTTAAAGGCATTCATACGTTTGTAGAATTCTTACTTGATAATATTTCATGTAATCCACTGTTGAGTGACACACGGCAAAAGCATCCATTGGATCTTTTAAGTAGGAACAATGCTGCTTGGCATAGTGTTCTGCAAGCCATATTTAATAACATGTCAGTTTTCATCATTATATGATTTAAAAATTAATTCAAATTTAAGCAATGCAATAAAATAATTTGTATTTATAATATGTTAAAATAAACCTTAGCCTACAGGCATTCCATATCTGCCTTACTAAGCTTCATCTTTGAATATTTTTGTTCCAAATTTTGTTGACATTTTCCACATTATAAATTCTTACATTGATATTTGCAAGATGTATCCTCATTAAAACTTGCCACTTTGTAGTTTTCTCCTCTTTTCTGCTCTATGTCCCAGCTTGAGCAGCACATAATATACAGTGAAATGTAGTAATTCAACATACACAGCTGGGGTCAGCTTGCTTAAAAAAAACAATAGGATCAGGGAGTGAAGAGACAGAAAAAGGCAGATCAAGGAGAGGGAGAAGCACCAGGAAAGATTAGAAAGATACAGAGAATTTTGGAGGTCAGATTTTGGAAACATCAGAACAAAAATTAAGGAATTAGCCATATGAACACGTGACAACAGGACATTACTTTAAAGAGATAAAGAATAATCAGAGAAAAGAAGATTTCAGGTACTTAAAAACATTGTGGTACCCTATCCCTAGAACTTTCACATTTCCGAACACAGATCACGGACAGTACAGGAGCAGGTGCAGAGCTGGAATCTGAACTGAAAACAAAAAAATTGCTGGCCATCACAGCAGGTCAGGCAGCACCCATGGAGAGAAAGCTAGCTAATTTTTTGAGTCTCAATGACTCTTCATCAGATCACATTTGCATATTATTTTCCATAGTCCAAAAATTAACTCGGTATCAGTACATCACATTATCCCTACATTCACTCTCTCTTTAAGGGAACTATCTTTGACTCCAGTACAAAGATCAGCCAGACGATTAGGCTCATGTTTATAATGCAAACTAACCATGTAAGCTTTTCATGTAAACTGCTGCCTTTTTTGTTATTTTTATACTTACTGAAGAACAAAATTTTTCTCTACCACAGAAAACAGTTGACGTCAAAATACCATCAAGAATGAGTTAGATATAGTTCTTAGGGCTAAAGGGGTCAAGGGGTATAGTGAGAAACCAGGATCAGGATATTGAGATGGATGATAAGCAATCGGATGGCACAGTGGCTCAGTAGTTAGTGCTGCTGCCTCATGACATCAGGGACCAGGTTTGATTCCAGCCTTGGGCAACTGTCTGTGTGGAGTTTGCATATTCTCTAGGAGTCTGCATGGATTTTCTCCAGGTGCTCTGGTTTCTTCCCACAGTCCAAAGATGTGTAGGTTAGGTGGATTGGCCATGCCAAATTGCCTTGTAATGTCCAGGGATGTTGCAGGCTAGGGGCTTAGCCATGGAAAGTGCAGGATAGGGTCTGGCTGGGATACTCTTTGGAGGGTTGGTGCAAACTTGCAGGGACGAAAGGTCTCTTACTGCACGTGGGGTTTCTATGGTTGAATGGCAGAGCAGGCTTGAAGGGCCTGAAGACATTCTCTTGCTCTTGTTTTCTAAGTTGTTTCTATTACAGACCCTTTTCTTCATGACTCATTTTTCTAGTTTTGACATCAAGATAATGCAGTTTCTAAAAGATGTTGGTGTACCATGTTTGAACAATAATATATAATATTGCAGAATGATGGAATTAAAGAGGGGTCAAATCCCATTCCCTGTGATGTTACGATAAGCACATGCTTGATGAAGACTAAGCTATTTTTCCTTATTGAAGAAAGTCCTGTGTCTGTTCCCATCCACTTTTAAGCAATTGACTGAGAGTGATGTTTGTAGTAGGGTGCCCTCTGTTCCTTTGGAAGTCGGAAAACAGTAGAAAAGGAGAGCTATTGAGATATTAACTACAAGCAAGTTATTTTAAGTCAAATTCAATCAGCCTATTTATCAGTTTGTTTTGTAGAATATTTGCTGTCACATTGAATTGGTTGACAGTTTTCAAATTTATTCAACTATTTTTCAGGCATTTAAAATAATTCTGCTTAGAGTATTTGCATATAAAGTGACAAAATCATTTAGTATAACTTTAAGTGATTATGTCTTCAAATTCTAAATAAGGGATAATCCACAAATCATAACATTGCCTCAAAAAGCATTTTGTTTGTCCAGTCAATTTCTATCTTAGTTTATTTACCTGACACATGACACCTTTCTAAACTGAAAATATTTTGCCTTTTTGCTGTCCCTCTATTCCCTGCCTACTCATGTATCTGTCAAGATGTCTCTTAAAAGTTACTACTGTATCTGCTTCTACTTCATAGTCATTACATCTATATGGCAATCTGCACCTGTAATTCAGGAAACTTATTGACCATACTCCATGCATTCACATATGCACAATGTGTACCTGATTTAGACTGCATTTCTTTCTTCCTTTAGCAAATCCACCTACCAACCTAGTATTCTAGTGCTGTCTGTGTTTTGAGAACCCTGGTATTAATCTCTAATACAGTCTCCTGGTTTTCACCCCACTGTCAAGTTTGTTTAAAGATTTCCTTCCTGCCTCCAAATGAAAAAGCAGTACTAGCAAAATGCCTACAGGAACTCATTCCTGGTTGTGTTCAGATGCAATTTGTCCAGCTTGTGTAGGTGCCAGCTCCCCTAAAACGAGCCCCAATGTCCCTGGAACTCTGCACTAAATCTTCCTAACTGTGCTCTCTACACCACTTTTGCAGGGCCAGCTTGCAAAGGAACAAGATCAGATGAGTTTCCTAATATAGACATAATCTCCCTCTCCATCATCTATGCTTTGCTAGAGTGCACTGTGGTGAGAAGGGAGGGACATATTTGGCAGAATGCCTGATGAACATGTGTCCAAAAAATCTAGTCTATGACAAGCTAATTGAAGGGAAACATTCATATGGTAGCCAAAAAAAACTACAAACCAAACTTGTACCCAATCTTAGATAACAAGGTGTACAGCTGGATGAACACAGCAGGCCAAGCAGCATCACACGAGCAGGAAGGCTGACGTTTTGGGCCTAGATCCTTCCTGTTCCTCTGATGCTGCTTGGCCTGCTGTGTTCATCCAGCTCTACACCTTGTTATCTCAGATTCTGCAGCATCTGCAGTTCCTACTATCTCTATAACCAATCTTAAACGTCTTTTGGGTTAATTTTGCCTACAACAACCTGATTGAAAAAAATGCACCAAAAGTAGTTTGTGAGTAGATTTTATGAAATATTTAAATACTGAAGTATTTCTTTAAGGAAGATCATTAAGTAAGCTTATCACTACGTGGTCACACTGTTAAAACAGAATAGTTTGTGATAGTGGAATTCTCTACATTAGAAAAAATGAGAAATTTACTATATCAATTCAGAACTCATGTCTTACAACATGACAGAGTAAAACAATGTCTATTATAGTTAGGATTAACCATTCTATATTACCATTATCTGAACTAACACATGGATCAAATATTGATGTTCCAGTGCAATGGCTTTCAACTTCCCAGGAATTAGCAAAAGTAAGAGGTGCATCTTCCACAATGTTATGTGCAGATAGGAAGTCATCATTTGTATTGTCATTGAAAGTGCCACATAGTCCTGTGGAGCAGAAAATACACATCATTAAATGAAAGTATCAATCTCATATCTATCACTTGATATTAATTCAAACCACTCTTGGTTTGTACTGTAAGTGTCAGTCATGGTATTGTTGATAATGTAGCATTAAAGAATATGCAAATGATGATGCTGTTGACATCACAGAGCACAGCAGAATCGGACGGACCAGATAAAGAGATGTACTGGAACAGAAGAGAGCTGTAGTCAGTAAACTGTACGTATACATGTGTAGGCAAAGAGTGTTACAGTGTTTCAGAGAGTGAATGAGTCTTACTCTAGGATAAACATGAACTAGGGATGCCAAAGACCAAGGCTATATTAAAAAAGAGTTCCACACTGCCAGAAGTAACAGATTTGGGATGAGATGTTAAACCAATGTTTATCCCACATGTGGCTCAGTGGTTAGCATTGCAGCCTCTCAGCGCCAGGGACCTGGGTTTGATTCCACCCTCAGGTGACTGTCTGTGTGGAGTTTGCACATTCTCCCTGTGTCTGTGTGGGTTTCCTCCCATAGTCCAAAAATGTGCAGGTTATGTTGACTGACTATGCTAAATTGCTCCACAGTGTTCAGGGATGTGCAGGCTAGGTTGATTAACCATGGCAAATACATGGTTATGTGGGGTATGGGTGGGTGCTCTTCAGAGGGGTGGTATGGACCTGATGGGCTGAATGGCCTGCTTCCACACTGTAGGGTTTCTCAAAGCAATGCTATGTTAGCAAAGTGGTTATTATGGCATTGCTGTTTGTGAGGCATTGGACTGAGTAAATTGGCTACCAGTTTTCTTATGGTCCAGCAGTGTCTATTTCTAAAAGAAAGTAGTGCTTTATGATGTCGTAATATCATGAAATGTGTTTTGTGTAATGGAATTCATGTTTCATAAAATGCATCAGCCCCTCAGAGTGAATTATCCTTAGACCCATCCAGCCACATTAAAAGCCAAAAGCATCAGGTATCTATTTCAGTGCACCTCATGAAAGGTAAACTGGTATGTTTTTGGCATTGAAATCCAAATTTGAATTATACAAGACTCAGGAATGAAAACAAGAGAGTAGAATGATGTGACAGAAGCATTTGTGCTATAAATGTTAGAAATGTAGGACCCTGGAAAGCATGGCACTGGTTGGGCTATTCACTGTGGAACGCCAGCCGTCTGCAGCCAATCAGAGCAAAGTCATGCTGTAGGTGATAGAGACAGAATTAGTGAGAAGTTGCTGTGCCAGTTGGAGCTTCTCTCTGGTTCGGGTAATCACAGGCTGTATCACTCTTTAATATGCTGCAGGCGGGTTTACTAGTGCAGCTTGAGTCATTGTAGTGTGCGATTGTCAAGTGCTGCTCTGGGCCAAGGGGATTGTTACCTTCAGGACCCAGGCTTGGGTTTTGCTAAGTGCAGGCCCTAGCCCTTGAGGGTAACTGAATGCAGTTCTAGGCCTTAAGGGTTATTGAGCATGGGATTGCACCTCAATGATAGACAAGTGTAGGGCCAGACCTTCTAGACTGTTGATCATGAGACCAGATAGAACTGGGGTGCCTCATGTTGTGGGATATTGCAACGGTTGGGGGTTGGATAGGAAGCTGCAAGCAGTTGGAGGATGAAGGAGGAGGCTGCAAGGGGCATGGAGGAGTAGGCTGTAAAGGTAATTGAGAATGAAAGAAGCCGCAGTGGCAGATGGGGTGTGGGATAGTAGAAATAGATTGGAAAGGGATGGGCAGGTGAGGAGGCTGCAAAGGAGAGATAACAGCTTTTAAACCTGTCAAGAATAGAATACTCAAATACTTTGGAGCCAGGAAAACTTGAACTCACTGGAGCAGTAAATGTGAAATATCTAACTTGAGCTATAACATAAGGATTTACTATCTGGGGAAAAAATGTAGTGGATGCTGTTGCAATAAATACTGTCAATTGGTGCATTTAAATTTGCAATTGTGATTTTAGATGCAATGAATACTTTGGTAATTGCTGGGTTAAAATGCTTCAGCTTTATTTTTATGCTATAGGAATTCATTATCTCTGACCTCACCCCAGTCTGTGGCAGGTGAGTTCAGGGTGATGTAGAAGCATGTCAATTATTTTGAAAAGAAAACTTTTGTTGCTAACTTATGCCTCTGGTCTTGTGCCAACTTGCATATTGTGTGACTAGGAAATGAATGTTTTCCTTATAATTTGGGACTGTAGGTTTAATGGAGGATTGATAGTTATTGAGGATGCTGGTATGTGAGTTTAGCTATCTCTTGTATGTCAGTTCAAATACAGAAGGTAATGCTACTATGTGAGTACATCACCTAATAAATGAGTTTGTGAAGATGAAAGTTTAAGCTCAGAAAACTGACAAGAAGCTTTGAAAATTGTAAAATTGAAATCTGTAAAGCAGCCCTCTTGAAAATTTCAAAAAAAGTCTTTAGGGATAAGTGTATATTTTTGTTTGTGTTGGTGTCACTGGATAGGCCAGCAATTATTGCTTTTCTAAAATTGCCCAGAGGGAATTGCTGTTGGTCTGGAGTCACATGTAGGCCACATAGGGTAAAAACAGCAGATCTCCTTCCCTGAAAGGCATTAGTGAGCCAGATGATTTCTTTCCCTTGAACAATCGACAGTGGTTACATAGTTCACTGTTAGGATAGGTTTTTAATTCCATGGCTTTGAATCCATGGCTCCAGAGCCTTAATGTGGGCCTTTGGATTACTTACAGAGATACAACCACATCCACCTGATAATTTCAAAGAAATGGAGCTGGTTGCACAATGCACATAACTTGGTGATGTAAAATGTTCTGACAAAGTGGTGTATGTGTATCATACTGAAAGCTGAGGTTGTGAAAGATTTTATAAATACAAGCACAGAATGTAAAAGTCAATTAGCTTTGAAATTGTTCCATCCTATTTTATCTATATTTTCCAATTCAGAGCACTGGAAGGATGTAAAGGCTTTGTAGAGGGTTCAGAAGAGATTTACTAGAATGGGCAAAGGAACCTGATTTGTTGGAGGCATGTACAATTATGAACAATTAAGGCAGAATAAAATAGAACTGTTTCCAATGGCGGAAAGATCAATAACCTATTTCACTTCATTTAAATTGATTGGCTAAAGGATAAGAGGCAACATGAGGAAAAACATTTTTACAAAAATAGTGGTTAGAATCTGGGATGAATTCCCTTCCTGATATTGAGATTGATATGGTTTAAAATTAGTGTTCAAAAGGAGAATAAATAACTATTTTCAGAAAACAAATGTAGAAATCATGGATGCGGGGGTCAGTGGTAAGACTGACCGGGTCACTCTTTTAAAAGAACTAGCACAAACATGATGGGCTGAATTGCCTCATGTACTCTACTATTCTAATCTATTGGGAAGGTGCTTGACTGAAGCTAATGAGGGTTAGAAGGAAGGCAAGAGAGATATGGGACCTGGAAACAGGAGGCACTATCAGGGTCATTGCTCCTGCATCAATACAAAATCATAGACTAGAAGAGAAGTGTGAATCAAATTGATTCACAGGCACAAGTGTCATTACAATGGGTAAGCAATAAACTAAATACATTGTTCGGGCATTAAACACCCACCTTTTGTACTTCCCTGGGCAGCTTCAGGCAGTGAGATGTAAAGATGCATGATGGGAGATGTCTGTACTTGCATCTTCATACCAGAACCAATTGCTGCTTGAATGAACATTGAGGACTGTTGAAATATTATCACATCACCTGTAAAAAGAAAATAAGCAGAGATTAACAAAAGTGTTACTTGCCAATTTAGTATATAGAATGAGATTTTGTCTTTTACCTTTTGCTAGGGGAAGTCCAACTTTATTCCCTTCAGAATAAACATTGCCATCATTACTGAATGTATATGACGTCTGTGGAAAGGATAAAAAGAATGTTTCTCTGCATACTTTCTGACTCAAATGAACCACTCAAAAGCATCTAAAATAACAAGATTACAAATCATGCTGACAAAAGAGATGTTGCTAAAATATTTCACCTTGCACTCATCATATGAATGCCAAATTGTAAACAATCAGTACAATTTATATTACAGGAAAAGAAGGATTTTGATTGATTTGCAAGTCAACTCTGGTTGAGATGTTGCCATTGAGAAAATAACAGGAACTACAGACTCCCCGAGCTCTTGGGTAATTTAGAAAGACACAAGGCTTGAATATTTTCTTTCCGTTTGCAGAGAATTAAGTTCACTTTAATGGATGTATTTTGCTTCTAGCAAGCGCAAAGTAAATATGGTACGAGCTTGATTGATTTTCTTAAATTGGTTATTACTGTACCTATCAGTGCAGTCAGGATTGATTAGCGAGTGTTGTCCAATTGCAGAATCACATTTAATTGTAGGAATGTTGTTTGGTTTTTCTCCATTGCAATGCTTTAGCTGATCAGAGTCGACTTGCCAATCAGCTCCCTTTCTTCCTATATTATAAACTGTAGTGACTGAAGTTTGGCATTCTTGTGTTTGCCTTGATGAATGCATAAAAACAAAAGCTTCTGCAACGTATCTCTCTTTAGAACAATATTCAGGTCTGTACTTGCCAAGTGAATGATTACAAAATCTCACCTGATTGTGGGTGAGCACCACACGCTGTAAACATGTTTGTTTAAATGCGATCTGACATGGCCGCAGCTCAACTTTTACAGTCCAAGCTTTTGTCTGTGGATAACAAGTTACAAAATATGAGTCTAAACTTTGTCAAACAGATATGTAAGAATTAGCCACTAACCAAAATGCAAATCTGATCTAATTTGAATTCCTGTGGGTCAGTCAAATTGATGCAAAGCCATTCCTGAATAATGTTTAATTGTTCTCATCTCTAGATCTATAAAAAATAGTACAAAATGCCAATTATTGACATTGGAACTATTGTACCTTTTACATTTAATTAAAACATTAATTAAATAGAACCTACAGCACTGAAACAGGCTATTGGATTCACCGACTCTGTGTCAGTGTTGGTGCTCAATTTGAGCCTGCTCCCATCAGACATCATTGAGCCTGGTCAATGTTACTTTAATATCTTTCTCCCTCGTGGACTTAACTAACATTTTCATAACGGCATTAGTATGCTCCATGTGGCAGCAAGTTTCAAGTTCTAACTATTCTCTGGGTAAAGAAGATTCTCCTGAATTGCTTATTATTTATTTGTAACTATATTCCACTTGCAACCGAGTTTTGGATTCCAATATAATTTTTCTTTATTTGCTCCCAAAGAATTTTTCATCAAATTATATTAAGTCTGAAAATATGTCAACACTAAAAGGTTTGTTTCAAGCTTGTGGATCCCAAACGTATTCTGCGAATTTGTTATATCAAGCATAAAATCGTTCAACTCTGCATTTCTAACCATTGAAATGAATGGGCAGGAGGTGTCAAATATGCTGCCAGTATCTACTACATTTGCTAATTTTTTTTTGTTATAGGATGTGCCAAGATGTCCCCTACATAGTCCAAATGTGACAAGAACAATATTTGCAAGTAAATCCAATTTTATCCACTACACAACCTCAATGTGTTTTCACTGTTTTCCCAATATTAAATCCAATGAAGCCCCACTTACAACAACAGCGTAGTAGAGACAATCTCCATTCAATGTGTAATATTTATTATCAAATGTCGTAAAATGGGTTCCCTCTTCAATCTTGCATCTTCCAGGGCAACTGATATCCAAGCATTCCCACATTCCGCTCTGACAAACACTAGCAAGGAAATACAATTATCAGGCAGCAACTCAATACATCAATATTGATATCAAAGCTTTGGCAGGTCAGTTGCGAAAGGTGTGTCATGTGAACAGATATAGTTACCATGAATGGCAGGACATGTTTCGGATTTGTCCAGAGTTATAAATCATTCCACCGTATTCACAAGGACATGCTGTTTTGTAGATGCACTTGCCCGTGTCTCTTACATCATCAAGGACAGTGTCTAAAGTGCAACATAAATAACAAAATTAATCTCCCTGCCACAAAGGCAAAGAGCATGACATTTGTTTAAAATAATTTGTTGGCAAACTGTAGTTCTAATGCTGTCACAGCAAAAGTCAAACTTGAATGAATGTACAATTAATCAAACCTGCAATCAGGTCTCTTTGAAAGAGTGCACAAAAGTGCAGTTTTGACAAATTGATTAACAAAACTGCTCATGTGTTAGAGTTAGATAATAGTGTGTAAAATAAAAATCTGAATCTAAGACCCTACCTCTCACTCCAAACTCATCCCTGATGTTGGATATTCCTTGAACTGATTTAGTTTGAAATCCCAAATATTATAGTGTCTTGTGCCATAATGTTTCTTATGTACCCTATCCATTTTCATGGGCTTCCTTCTTTCACTGTATATAATGAACAAGTTGCATTGATACTGCAATCCTATAGGTTATGGTGGCTGCACAATCAGTATGTGATTGTTTAGTCAATGGCACTTATTTAATAAAGAACAGTACTCGCAAGAGCTTATCCTATTTCGTTGGGTGATAGCCTTCTGTTAAACCTTAGCACTTTGTGGAAGGAACATTGAGCCCCAGTTTCACTAATGATCAGCACTTTTAATAACAACATTACTTTCAGCACTGTGTCTGACTCATGCTCAAAAGTCCCACCAAAGGCTTGATAACTGTCTTTCTTATAATTACCTTCTGGACATTCACAGGTATTCACACACTGATCACATTGTTGCTGTGTTTCTGGGTCAGAGCAGGTTGGGACACATGCGGCACCACACTCCTGGTAGAACTGATTTTCAGGACAATCAGGACTTACTGAAAGATAGGTTACACATCCATGTAATTCTCAAATTTAGTCAAGAACAAAACTAAGGTTTTCAGTGATTTAATTATTCTTCTTACCACATCTAACTTTTGATCTCCATTCTTTCCAGTATATTCCATAGATGTAACCTTCATCATCACTGCAAGCAGTAAAAATTTTCAATAAACTGAGTTGCACAGCAACTAAGAGCAACTAATTGCTTAAAATTATGAGGCGCATATGTAAGGTAGACAGGGAGAAACGTTTCCCCCTGATGGAGAGATCAATAAGCAGGGTGGATAGATTGAAGGTAAGGGGCAGAAAGTTTAGAGGGGTTGTGAGGAAAAACTTTTTACCCAGAGAGTAGTGGGAACTGGAACTCATTGCGTGAAAGGGTGGTAGAGAAACCCTCATACATTTAAGAAGTATTTCTGTATTTGTTCAAATGTTAGAAAATGGGATTAGAATAATTAGGTAATAGGAACTGCAGATGCTGGAGAATCTGAGATAACAAGGTGTAGAGCTGGATGAACACAGCAGGCCAAGCAGCGTCATAGGAGCAGGAAGGCTGACGTTTCGGGCCTAGAAGAAGGGTCTAAGCCCGAAACGTCAGCTTTCCTGCCCCTCTGATGCTGCTTGACCTGCTGTGTTCATTCAGCTCTACACCTTGTTATCTTAGAATAATTAGGTGGTTGTTTTTAACCCGTAAAGATGTCATAAGCTGAAGGACCTTTTTCTGTGATATAGATCTCTATGATAGCAAAAGTGAACTGTTGCATTTAAGAATTGTTTCCATTTCTTTAATGTTACTATTTTAAGGCTTGTTCAAGTTTACACAAGAAAAAGCAGAATTTGTGTTGATTTTTCTTCAACAAACTCTCCATTGTATTGCTACCCAGATTAATCGATGTCCAGCCTTAAAATTTCAAGCTATAGTTTTTATGTCTCAGTTTGCATACGCTAGGAACACCAGAGTATAATTTCCATATGGTAGGACAAACAAAAAAACCAAACAAAGTTCACACATATTATGCCATTTAAAGGGCTCATGTCTGTCATGCTGTGACAGGGATGCCTCTAGCTGTTTATCTGGATTATCAGAACCAGGGCATTAAATATCCACAAACAAAATCTCTACCCATTTTAAGGGGTTGATCAAATGTCACGGTAGTACAGATCCCATTTCAATGAATAGCAAATGTCAGTGGCGGATGAGAGAAACTGGGCTTATTCTTCTTGTATCAGAGAAGATTAAAGGGAGATTGATTAGAGATGTTTAAATACATGGGATATTTAGAGAGATCACTGATGGGTGTGTTGGCAACCTGAGAAGACAGATCAATGGTAAAAGAACTAGAGGAGAGGTGAGAAGCTTTTTTATATCCAGTTAGTTGTTATGATGTGTAATGCTTTGCTTGAAAAAGAGGCGGAAGTGGATTCAGTTGTAACTTGGCTCTAAATGAAACATTTGCAAAGCTACAGAGAAGTAAGGTATGGGTGGAACTAATTGGATAGCTCTTTCAAATAAGTGGCACAAGAAATAATGGACTGAAAGGTCTCTAGTGCTGTAAAATTCCATGACTCTGATAGCCTAGAGATTACAGTGGACAAGTTATCTCAATTATGTTAACACGCTCACATGAAACTCCTCCCTACATCATCATCAAATTAGAGAAAGGTACAATAAGGCTGCGTTGTTCACATGTTCACATTACTGACAGTAAGTTTTAGTCCCCAATGAACTTTGGTAAAGAGATCAATTAGAGATGTACTGTTTATATTACTGGTGAAATAAATCTCTTCCTCTTAAAAACTGGAAATGTGCTTTTTTGGGTTCAGTGAGCAACTGCAGCAGCAAAACTGTACACTTGTAAAGCATTCATACTGCAATGGAGCATCTCAAGGTGCTTCACAGGAGTATCATGAAACAAAGCATAGCACTGTACCACACAGGGAAGTGACCCAAAGCTTCGTTAAAGGGCTAGGTTTGAAGGAGCATTTCAATAGAGGAAAACAAAATAGTGAAATAGAGGGATGTATGGAGAGTAATCCAGAGATTAGGGCATTGGCAATTGAAAGCACAGCTACTAATGGTAATGGAACAGTGAGTTCCCCCTTTACCTGGCCAACATTCATTCTCAACCAAAACACAATGGACTAAATTAATCTTACTGTTATCTGAGGAGGCTTGCTGCTGGCATGTTGACAGCTGCGACTGAGACTTTGGCAAAAATATTTCATTTGCCATGAAGCAAGGGGCATCCTGATGATATGGGAATTACTGTATAAACTCATGAGCAACCACCATCTGCAGCCATCTGTTAGCAAACAGGAGGCCAACATCCACCTCTTGAGAACAGGAAGTCCTAATTCAGACGCCAATCAGAGCCTGATAGCACTCCAACACCACTGTGCCACCAGGACTGTTTGCAACTGCTAGTATTACAGTGTCCATTACCCAGCAATCCTTACTGCAGATAAGCAGGTGTGACAGCATGCAGTAGCACAGAGGAGGGAGCTGGAAGGATGGGTTTGCAGTTTGGGCTGTAGCACTGGCTGCAATGGAAATATGGTGGGGAGCTGGGAGATACCCCTGGCCATGGACAACTCATGCCACAGGTTGAATCCCAATGCTGGCAGATGGGGCTCTCCAATTGAATCAATTGTGGTTTAAAGACCTCAGTTGACCCACTGGTGAGCAGATTGCCTGAAGTACTCCCCTAACCCAGTTATAATGTTATGTGGACAAGGCCCATGAGTGAATGGCAGGCAGACTGTTTGATGGATTAACCATGTCCTTGCCTTCAAACCGACTGAGATGGGAGAGCAAAGTTCAGCCCATGATGATATCCGTTATAACCCATCAGCATGGTCCCTGTCCATGTCACTAATCTGCCTGGATGTCTAATTAACACGATGTTGTTTTCCTTGCTGACTCCCTTTCAGCAATTGTTATTCAAATTCATCAACCATACCATCAATTCATAAAACATTTACCTTGTTACAGGTAGATTTGTACATTGCCGTGATAGTTCTTCAAATGTGGCACATGCACACTCTTCCTTATTTCCACAAGCACATACATCCCTTTCGCATAATTTTAAATACTTATTAGTGAAGGTGGGATTTGCAAAGCATGTTGAAAAGTATGTTGAAACCGGGTAGTTACAGCTCTGAAAGTAGCAAAACAAAAGGGAGAATCAAAAATTTGGGTCCATGTCCTTTCATTCCATGAAGGGTCCTGATCCAAAACATCAACTTTCCTGCTCCTCTGATGCTGCCTGGCCTGCTGTGCTCCTCCAGCTCCACACTGTGTTATCTCTGGCTCCAGCATCAGCAGTTCTTGCTATCTCCTAGTAACAATACCCTGATGTACTCATGTAAGGTATGGTTTGTCTGTTTAGCACGCAAAACAATACTTTTCACTATATCTTGCTACATTTGATAATAATAAACCAAATTAAATAAAATGACCGTTGCCAGTCAATGTTCCAATGAATTGAATTCCTGCTGAATTTTCCAACCCTCCCTTCATACAGCTTCAATACCAACATAAAACAAAGTATTTCACTGAATTGCAGTAGGTTTGTTGGAATGTGAATGATCAAATATATTAGCCCTTAACAGTATGAGCACCTTGACATCTGGGATGTTGATTGATCGTCTGATAACTGAATGCCCTGTTGGGATATTTCCTCCTCTAGATTTTAACATTATTTTTCAAATATAACTGATTTCCTCCAGGAAATTTACAAAAAAGAAAGGACGCAGTGGTCAGAGAGGTGAGGTGTCTTTTCACACATTTTTCATTGCGAGGTTGTAATGTGTTTAGTTGTGCCGCTGACATCTGAAGTTATTTGATTGGATTGCAATTTGTCAGGTGGAGACTCGCTGGCAGGCTTTTATAGAAGAATTGAATGAAACTGAATAGATTAACCTCTGTTCAACATCTGCATAGTGCAGCTCCAAATATGATGAGTAATTTTCTTGAAACTAATCCTTTTCTGTCATCATAATTTCACTGCAAAGCCCATTTCTGTAGGTCCCCAGAGTTCTGCTTGATCTCTCCCAAAGTTACTGTAAAAATAGGGAGCAGGTTTGGGGACATTCCTTATTGAGTGTGGGACAAAGTATGCAGATGGAGTTGGTGAAACAGGTGCAGGATTGAACACAGAGGGGATGAAATTGTTGTATTTGGTTTAAAAAAAAGCCTTGGGAAAGGATGAAAATCATTTGTGTTTTGCTTGTTGAATGAGATTGAAGAATACTTGGGAGGTACAGTGGGGCCTCAAATCAACAATTGAAAGAATGAAGTGGCATTTATAGAGGGTCTTGTTTAGAAAAAAAAAGGTTGCTGGATCATTATAAGATAATAAGATGAATTAGGCAATTCTGTCTATCAATTCTTCTCAACCATTCAATATAGTTGACCTGATTGTGGCCTTAACTCCAGTTCCCTGTCTGTTTCTCATTATTCCTAACACTGTTTTTCAATCAAAAACTTTTCAAACTCAGCCTTGAATATCATCAATGATCAGTAGAGAATATCCAAGATCAACAGATCATTGAGAAAAAAATTCTCCTCATCTCAGTTCTACGATGAGAGGAAAAATCCTCCTGGTACTTATCCTATTGAGCCCTGTCAGAATTTTATAACCATCAGGATATAATCCATGTATCCAATTTAGATCCAATAAGCTTATTGTATATGTTTTAATATAATCACCTCTCATTCTTCTATACTACAATAAGTACAGACCCAAGTTCCTTCACCTTCCATTATAAAACAACACCCTCATCCCTGGAGTCAATTGGGACAACATTCTCTGAACTACTGCCAATTCAAGCTTGTCATTTGTTAAATTAGGAGACCAAGCCTCTACACAGTGATCCAGATTCCAGTTGCAATCTTATCAATGCCCTATACAGCTACAGCAAGATTCCTTACAATTATACTTCTTCTTTTGCAACAAAGGCCAACATTCCATTTCCCTTCCTAATTACTTTCTGTGCCCACTTGCTAACTTTGTGTGATTCACATACAAAGTAACCCAGATCTCTCTGTACTGGTGTTTTGCATTCTTTTTCCATTTAAAATAATTTCGTTCTTTTCTGTTCTTCCTGCCAAAATGAACAATTTGACATTTTTTCCCATTATACTCAAGCTGCCATTTTTTATCCCATCATTTAACCAACATGCCTTTGCAGACTTTTCGAATCTACCTCACAACTCGCTTTCCTATCTATCCTTTTATCATCAGAAAATTGGGCTACAATATCATCTGCCTCTTTATCCAAGTCATTTGTATGTAGATCATTGACAGATGAGCCTCCGGATGTCTAGTAATTACAATTTGCCAACCTGAAAATGACCTATTTAGCCTGACAGTTTCCTTGATGGTTAGTCAATCCTCTGTCAATACCAATATAAAACCCCAACATCATGGGCTCTTATGTGCTATAATCATTGGTGTGTCTTTTGCAAATCCAAATACACGCCATCTCCTGGTTCTGTTCTATCTACACTGCTGACTACATCCTCAGAGATCTAATATATTTTTCAAACAAAACCATGTTTATTATGTCTGATTTCAGAAAGTCCTGATCCTTCCTCCTAATAATGTATTCTAGCATTTTGTGAATGAGAGTTATCAGTGGAATTGGCTTATAGTTCCCCACTTTCTGCCTCCCTCCTTATTTCAAGTCACACAATGTACCACTCTGGAACAAAAACAACTCTACCACTCTACCTGTGCAGCACATTTTGATGCTGTCCTCATGTCACTAACGTTTCTTATAATGTTGCTACTCAATGCATGCATGCTGTGCCCAAAATATTAGGATCAGTCTATGAATGTATGGCACATTGGTCTCTGAAAGGGCGGTCAGTTTGCAGGAGGATGCATTCAGTACAAAAGTAAGCAAGAAATCATTGCAATGAGATAACCTTCTCCAGGAAGTGCAATAACTAGTCTTCCCAGTCATAGCTGTGGCCTTTTACTGGCAACCAGAAGATATGAATTCTGACATTGGCAAGTTATGGAATGGAATTTTGATATTGTGTAGATGATTGCGAGATAAAATGATGATGAAAGTAGCCACGTTGTTATTAATACTCAAATGGTTCAGTAATTCCCTGTCAAATCCTATCTGGTTTGCATTTGCCTATAAAACCATGCAAATGATTGACTAACTGTTCCCAGGACACTGATGAATGAAAAGTAAACTCTGCCTTTGCAGTGTAACCCACACGTAAAAATCATATTAAATTATTTTGATTCTCCCACAGTTCTGATCCTCACATTAGGACATACAATAAAACGCATTTAATGTGAGAGGTTAATTTGTTGCAGATTGTCAACTTTTAGATTCATGTCAATAATAGAAAATGAAATCAGTAGAGGAGATGCACATATTTACCACTGCTATGAAGAAATTTGATTATAAAGAACTTACTTTAGCTGCTGAGCATGTTGAACTTGAAGGATGGTCATTAACACATGCTTGACCCAGAACATCCAGCTGATTCGCAACCATGATGTTATATACAGCATTGTCAGAATCTGCAAAAGCCAAAAAGGGAAATATATCATGAGATGGTAGTTTTTTTCAAATCTGTGAAATGCTAGAAGCAATGGCATATTTCTTTGGCAGTGATTAATAATCAACTTCATCATCTATGTGTAACCGATTTAAATTATTGTATATGTGCAAACTGCCTATCTGTATAACTTAACATCCTAAAACTGTTTTTAATGTTAAGTGTTATTTATCCATATTTATTATAAACATTGCTGATAAACTTTTACATATTGTGCCCACTTTATGGTCAATGCAGTTTTTAATGCATAGTTTCCATTTCTGAAAATGTTCATTCTGCAATCTAACCTTCTCTTTGGGTGAGGTCTTTAGGACAGCTTTAGCTTTCTTCCACACCAGAGTATTTGCATTCATTGATTGATCATAGTTGTAACGACTGATATATCACCTGAATAGTATATTCTACATTAGAAAACATGCATCTTTTGTTCTCTAAAGCAACTTATCCTCCCTCCTGCTGTGAATAACATCACAGAAAGTCTCCAAGTTGTCTCTTTTATATCTTGGTGTTTTTATTTACCAGTATTGATTCCAGTTCCTTCTTGAAAATTTCCACAAAGGCCACAAGTTTGATTTTTATATTTAGTATCAAGAGTTACCTGTAAATAAAAGATAAGAAATTCCAAATATTAATGAAAATACATATTATGGCAATTAAACCCCTTTCAGAAATGTTTCAACCAACCACAATTATGTAATGTAGCTTGTGGGCCAAATGATAGAACTTGAATTGAAAGAATTATGTAGTGGTGAGTTAGTGATGAAGTGAAATCACAATGGCACAGTCTGAAATGTGAATCAGTTGATAACACTTTGCTGTGATGTCAGAAGATTTTGGATTCATGCCCCCTGCTGTGATTTGAGCACAAAATCAAGGCTGAAGCTCCACGACAGTATGGAAAGAGTACTGCATTGTTTGAGGTATTTATTTTGTGTAAGCATTAAAACATAAGACCATCTTCCTTCTCAGAGGACATACAAAAATCTGCAACACTTATTTGAAGAAGAACAGGGATGTCTTCCTACTAACTTAGCCAATATTTATCTCACTTTTAAGACTGAATAACAAAAATACCTGATCATTATCTCATTACCGTTTGTGCAATACTTGCTACGGTTCCTACGTGAGAACATAATGGCTACACTTTAAACATGTCTAGTTGATGTTGAAATTACTTTCAAATGTCTCAAGGTCTTGAAAGGTGCTGCAGAAATGCAAGTCTTTATTTTACATGGATTAAATTTTGAATGTTAATTTAATGCCAGTGGAATTTCCCTTCACTCTAAGCGATAAATATATGCAGAATCATGTATACTGGTAAATCTGCTTTCTGTTACAGTGCCAACATAGCCAATAAACATGACAGACATTGGACTCACCAAAGCTAGGTTTCTTGACTCTAGGAAAATAAGCTGACAATTGGGAGTCATGTCAGGTCATAACAAATCAAAATGCATGCAGTAACAGGAAAGCTGAGCTCTTGTTGAAGATTGTCTTAGTACTATTTTCAGCACATGCAGCATTAAAGGCAAACAAATGTTTAGGTGACAATATGACATACAATGGGGAGAAAGTTGTCTTGGGAAGCTGTGCAAAACAGGCATTCTCACATGAGAACATTCTCACCCAAAAAGAACTTCCTCTTCGAATGCTAATGTAAATGTACTGATGTTGTTAGAATTCAGTCTGAAATTGCTGCTGGCTTCACTTGGCAGAAATGGACAGGCTCCTTGCCAGAACTTTTCACAATCAGAGGATCAAGGAAGAAAACAACTTTTAAATAAAGGGATTAGTTAGGTACATGAGACCTACGGCATTGTGCAAACCAGTTTTCAGGTAATTGTTAAGGACATGCTCACAGGGTGAGCCTCACACGAGGCATGTTGGAGACGAATTTCACTGCAAATATTCACATTGTGGATGTAGTTGTTTCCATCCGTTCAGTACCTGTGCTCACTTCAATAACAGGGCATGGAGCTTATGGGGAAAAATAGCTTGCATTTAAGATATGTATGTGCACAGTGCCATGATGACACAGAAAAACTTCCAACAAATTTTGAATTTTTGAACTCCATCATTGCAGGTACAATTAGGTCGAATGGCCTCCTTCTGCATTCTAACAATCTGTGATCAACCAATTTAATACCTGGGGCTTTCATGGACATAAATCACATGACTGCACAAGTGGCCAAGTTCAATGTGGATTAGACAACAGAAAACCAGTCTGAAGTTAACATTTTATTGATAAAGACAATCAAATTTGTTCAGGCATGAAAAGACTCTCATCTCCTACTTTGATTTACGCCTTTATAAGAATTTCACATGTTAGAGGTGGAACCTTGCATTCTGCAGGCACAGAAGACACAATGAAGATGCTACTTTAAGGATTGCGTTGGCAGAAAGGAGATGAGACTAAGGATGCAGTGCAGAACAAGGGACCTGAACTTTATTTGTCTCTAGAGAAGAAAAAGGTGCCCAGTGACTTTGTGTTAGTGTTTTAAAAGCTGGGTACATTAATGAATCAAGGACCAGGATGTCAGCATTCCCAAGAAAATGTATGACTTAAGCTAAATTACTAGTTAGGTTAAAAAGAAGAGCTGAGGATACTAGAAAGCTAAAACAAAAACAGAAATTGCTGGAAAAACCCAGCAGATCTAGCAACATCTGCAGTGAGAAAGCAGCGTTACCTTTTCAGGTCCAGTGACCCTTCTACAGAACTCAGAATGCTGTGAAGAAGGATCACTGGAGTGGAAACATTAACTCTGCTTTCTCTTCACAAATGATGCCAGACCTGCTGAGTTTCTAGAGCAATTTCTGTTTTTGACTAGATAGGTAACCTGAGGAGGTAATCACTGAAGTGTTCATTAAGTTGGGATTTTCTAACCTACAGGACAGGCCACTGATCATAAATAGATTCAGTTCAGAAGTAAAGATCCATACCAGCAGAAGGTCAGTTTAATTTTGACAGCCTCCAGGCCATCAGAGGTTGAAATAAGTTTTAAACTGCTTTTGCAGTCCCGAGTATGTAGGGCTAGAGAAGACCCTGAGCCCTTCTTGGAGATTAGTTCGAAAAGTCTATTACCTTGTGACTGTGTGTCTCCGGGAGAGATGAAGAGGATCTATATTTGGTCAATGTGCAGAATCGTCATCAAAAGGAAACATTTGTAAATTTGTCAGTTGAAGAAGAAACTTGAAAGTGATGTTAGGTGTGGTACATCACTGGGTTTGAGTTTCTATAAAAGAGATTGCTGGGAAAATGGGTTGCATTTTCCTTTCGTTGTTCAAAACAAAATCTTTCAAAATTGTCATACATTTATATACAGTTTATTTTCCTATTCTTTTGTTTAATAAATTTACATTCTTTTGTCAAAAGTACATGGGTAGTCTTCTGTGAATTTGTTCAGTGACTAACCACCAGGGAAACCAAACTGCAAAAATGAAACTTATGATGTATCAAACCATGTTTCACTCCAGAGTCTGACCTATACAGTGTTACCATTAACTGGGAATATAACAATGTGAGAGGACTTATCTGACAATGGAGCAGAATATTGAGACTTTTGAGGGATATTTGTGCCAAATAAACTGTGGATCTTGGGTGGAACCTTATGGAACCACCTGGAGCTTTTAGAAATTTGCCTGGAGAAACTTCATTGGGAATGAGGCATTATTCAGTTTCCTAAAGGTGGGTTAATGTTTTCATATTACATTCTCAGAACCAGTCGGGTAGGTTGGCTTGATGATCAGGAACCTCTATTGAATTCTTCAGCATGCCATGAATACTCATTGATACCCCATTCTGCTAGAATCACATTTGTGGCTGCAATTGTGTTAGTGAAAAGCAGGAAACATGTATGTCTCATGTCAATCTATATCTGAGATGTGTATCTGGCAAGGTAGACTTCTGCCTCCAAGCTCCGATGAGTCACAAATGTTTCAGGTAACCTGCATCTTTCAAAGTCAAGTGCTTGTAGTGTAACAGGTGAAGTTTGACCAAGTCAGCTAGATCTTGAAAATTTTTAGTGCAATCTTGCCTGTTGTTGGTAAATGTTTACATTGTATGCTTACTGAGACTATGCATAAGTAGGGCTTTTTCTGATTAACTGGAAATCACAAGTGGGCTGTGCCATGGCCTCAGCTTTTTACCAATTTGTATCAATGACTTAAATGAGGGGGGCAAAGGTATGCTAGCTAAATTTGCAGATAACACAATAGGTAAAATATGTTGTTGTAAATAGCATAGGGAGTGTGCAGACAAATATTGATTTGTTGAATGAGTGGGCAAAATCTGGCATATGGTGCATAATGTGGGAAAATGTGAAGTAGTTCACTTGGCAGGAAGAACAAGAAATCAGAGCAATAATGAAACAGGGAATGATGGCAGAATTCTGACGTAGAGAGGGATCGAGGTGTTCTAGTTGTCTTATGAGAAAAGGCCGAATATATTAAGTCTGTTTCCACTCGAGTTTCACAGAATGAGAAGTGGCCTGCTTGAAGTGTATAAGATCCTGAATGGCCTTCACCTAGGAGTCCAGAGTTAGGGACACTGTTTAAAAGTTAGGGGTCACCCTTCCAGGACACAGATGAGGAGATTTTGTTTCACTCAGAGAGATGCTGGACTTCTCCAACAACCTATATAGTTGTTAACAACACTTCTCTATTCTTATGGTCCAAACTCCGATCAAAGGATAATTACAATATTAGCTACTGTCGATAATCCAAGCCGCCAACTGTGTGTGTATTAGTTCTTTTATTGTGTATTTGTTTGTTTGTATGTGTGTTGTTTGTGTGTGTTCATGTGATTTCATAGAGACTTAATGTTGTGTTTTATCTTTTTTTTCTTGGGGTTAGTAGATAATGAACTTATTTAATTTTAAACTCAAGGGAAACTTATGAGGGATTCCTTATTGTTTTTGGTGAAAGCAGTTAACTACAGTTTAATTGGGGAAGAGTGCAGCCTCGATATAGAACAGCCTTAAAAATAACAGAAATTTTTGTGGCCAACCAGGGAGATTGAAAAGAAGGCATCTGATTCCGCCCTCCACATCTTGTAACAAGAACACAGTCAAGTGAAAGCTTAAGTTCCTTTCTTCAAGAAGAGATGATTTGACTGCACCTGCACCTGCACCTCTGCCTTTGATGCCCTTGTTCTCAATAAGAACATGATTCTTTCTCACTCTGTCCATTGTGGCTCTTCGTCTCCACTCCAATATATTTAAGAGTTGCAGACTTTAAAGAATATAGAGATCAGTTGTCTTGAATAGACCAGACGAGCTCCAAAAATTATTATCGGGCCCTGTTCTCTATTCCAGGATCATATTGGAAAGCAAGTGTAATTGTTTGACTTCTTTTCTCTATTGCTAAATGTCTTGCTCAACCCCTTTTCCTTGCCATCTCTATTATCACTTGCAATAACAAGTGAGGAGTTCATGGATATCTTTGTCACTGAGATTGCCCCTTACCTTTTGCCTCCATTCCACAAACCCACCAGTCAAACCTCTGCTAAAGTTCCTCTTTGCCGTTACACTGAATGCACATCCTTCTCTAGTTTCTCTCTTAAACTTTCCTTGTCTTTCTCAGTCTGTCCGCAGCCTTTGAAATGGATGGCTGTATCATACTTCCAGCAACTCTCTGCTATTTTCCAATGGGATATGACTGCATTCATCTGCTTTCATTCTTATCTCTGTTATCAGATCCAGAGTGTCTCTTACAATGTCTTCTCTCCTGGGTCGTGCACAATGTCCTCTGATGTCCCTCATGATTCTGTTCTTGGTGCTTTCTGTTTCTTATTGACACGCAGCCCCTCAGTGACATTAACTGAAAACACTGTCAGTTTCAACATGTACACTGTCAATAGGCTGCTTTCCCTCACCATCGCTTCATTCAACTCCTCCAGTCTTGCTAAGCTTTCAGACTGCTTCGCTGATATCTAGCACTGCGTAAGCAAAGATCTCTCCAATTCATCATTGAGAAGGTCTGAAGCCATTAGTCTAGGTTTTCTAATAGGATGATCATCATTATGGAGGCCTGTAATGGACAGAGTGAGAAAAAGTTATGATCGTACTGGGAACAAGGGCATCAGAGGTGGAGGTGCAGCGGCTGTGCTTTGGCACCAACAGGAAAGTTGAACCTTCTGATGGGCAAATATCCAAAGCCTGGGACCCTCCAGAAAAGACCCCAACTTGGAGTTCTAGTGGAAACTTTGGATGGTTCTAACTTACTTAACTGAATAGTTAGCCAAATAAAGTTAAAGGAATTAACACCTACTCGACTCCTAGCTGACTATAAAACTGATGCCCCCAACTAACCATTGCAATTCCCTTTACTACTACCTACCTCCATGAACAGCTGACACCCCCCTTCTAAATTTGAACACCATGCCCTCTCACCCAACCTGCAACTCCTCCCTGAACTCCTATGAACCTGACACCTTCTGACTCCACAGCGATACCCCTGCGATACGCCAGCCCCCTCCAGATTTCATATAGACCACCCAACAGCTCCTCCTGGGCACAAACCTCTGAACCAATCCTAAATACTACCCCCGTTCTGATCTGAGTCCTTCCACCAAAACCCCACAAGCGCCCACCAAATGGACGCACAAAATCAGCCACCAACTCCCCTCCACCCCATCCCAAACACCTGGGCATCTCAACCCCCACTAGGCACTCATCTGCTCACCTACCACTCTACCCGTGACCCATCCTGTATCTTAACTGCTTACACATCAGTCTACCCCCACCCACTTGTCACTCTAACCTCTCGCTTACTTTACACACTTACTTTCAGCCAATTGCTGTCAAAGTGGGACATTAAGGCTAAAATGTTGGGGTGGTTTCAAAATGGATCTACCCAGTTGCTCCCGGTCTGGATTCCTGGACTGGACTGCACTCTTCATCTTTGGAGATGTTTTCCAGTTGAACCTTTAAGCCAGAAATCTTCTCAGCCTAAGTGAGCATTATTCTGACCTGGGTCTGACCCAGGTTGGAAAATTCAGGCCATTAAGCAAATTCCAGGCTCTATTCTGTAGCTACCAACTTCATTCCTCTTGTTTTGAGATTAAACCAGAGTATTCACCCCCTTTATATTAGATTTGACTCTGAGATTAGATTCTAAAAAATGTGGATTTTCAATGAAAAGTTTTATTGATGGTAAAGCCATGCTTTCTAAGATATCTGTATTTCAATTCTGGCCACTTGCATATCCCTGACTTTAACCACTCTGCTGTTGCTTGCCATGCCTTCAGCTCCCTTGGTCCTAATTCAAATATTCCTCCTCTCTCTGCCTCACTTTCCTTTTATAAGATATTTCTTAAAACCTGCCTTTTTGACAGTTTTTAATCTAGGCATTCTAGTTAGCTCCTCATGTTGCTTGGTTTCAAATTCTGTTTGATAATGCTCCTCTGAAGTTGGGATGTTTTACTACATTCAAGGCGTGAACATATAACTATTTTGTTGGTCCTTGCTGCTGCTGTATTGCCAGATGTCTTGTTCTTTGGGTGAAAAGTTAAGCTGAAACTCTCTGTTCTCAAGAAGCTTAATGGCCTCAGCAACTTATAATCGATTTGATTGAGTTACTAAAGGGATGATCTGTGGAATTTTGCAAGGCATGTTGCTTCAGATGCAGGAAGATAGACATATATCAAATGTCTACTTGATTGGCTACATCTCCCGTAATAATAATCCACATCAAGCTCTTTGCTTTATCTTACCGACAATGAATCCCGAAGATTCCAGATAACAGATATCGTATGCTTCCTGTTGGAAATTCTTGTGTAAATGCCATATTTCTGGATAGCAATGATCTTATCATCATACGGCAGTTTTATACTAGAAAACAAATGAGTGGAGTCAATAACTTATAGAGAAGCTTCATATTTAATATTTGAAGACTTAATTTTTGAAGAATTGTGGATGTAGTAATTGTAATGAGGTCAGCAAGGTGGACCTCACAGAATATGAGTTAATATGGGGCTGATAGTCTGGTCCAATCAGGAAGCCCTGGCTGCCAGATGTAAACAGGACCAGTGTCAAGTGCTATGCACATGGAAATAAAGGGCGACTTGGTGACAGGATATCAGCCTCTGTTGTTATTGCAGTGGAAAAATTAATTTCTTTCAAATTTTGCAGAGATACCTGGATTGGTTTCTTTAAAAGATCATTGAAAGTTCACTGTGGACATCAGACTTTCTTTTAGGAAGCCAGTTAGAAATCACATGACTTGTATAAACTGTTTGCTTTGCTGGAGACTCCTACTATTGCTGTTTTGAACAATGTTTGGATGGGAATTTGTTCTGGTCTTTAGTTGTAGAAAATGCCTGTGAAGAAGGGATGCCCATAAGACTATAAGATGTATCAGCAGAAGTTAGCTATTTAGCCTGTCAAGTCTGCTTTGTCAACAGCTTCGATCATGACTGACCTGATAATGCTCAACTCCACTTTGCTGTCTTTTCCCCTTAACCCTTGATTCCCTCATTGATTAAAAATCTATTTATCTCAGCTTTGAATATATTTAACAACCCAGCCAGTTTAACTCTCCTGTTTCTGATATATATTAAAAAAAACTCATACTGTTGTAAGTTCAGGAAGAAGTTTACTTGTGCTCCCATATGTCCTGAGCAAACTATGTTTAAGACTTCAAAGACAACTGCCCATGTTTGGTGATCTGTTGACGATCACCAGACTATTGGACTGGAAGATACTGTGAACAATCCACACCTGCACTTTTTCCTCTTCCAGGACTAAAACTCATTGGCCAAACCATTTTTCTTTCTGAAAGCCAATTCATTTTGTACCCTTTACCTTGTTACACGTGCATGTTATTGCATGTGCATTTTGAGTTTCTTAGAAGGATAAATGTTTTTGCTTCCATTTACAAACTGTATAAACCAATTATTTTGTATTTATTAAAGAAACTGGGTTGATGAATATGTTCATTTAAAACTTGAAATGCACAAGATATTTAACAGACCATCTCAGTAACCAGAAAAGTTATATTTTATGTCATGTTGTGACTCATGGAATAGCAGATCTATAACAACAGTGCCCTCAACCAGCCTCAGGCATGACATTTCTTAGAAGCTAAAAGGAGAGTCTGATGTAGTTACAAAAGAAAACTCCATTGCAAACAGGGAAATACATGAAACTGGTAATTTGCTTCAAGTTTTGTTCTGCAGCTATCACTTTGTGCAACAAAGACTCTCCTAATATTTTGATAATTTCTGTGTGACGACATTTCAATGAAGAAATAGGAAGTGTCAGACTTTATTTGATACTCGACCTTCATAAAAGAATATTGAAGAATAGAAAAGTTTGGATGAATATTTTAGAACTAAATCCATAATAGATTTTACTTACGTCAAATCTTTAACTCTAACTGTTTCATTCTCTGTAATAACAGAGACACCTTCGATCAGGATGTGGATGTGTTCCAGATTGCCATTTGCACCCCTGCGAATCTGGATGTTAAAATCCTCTGCAGTACCTTTGCACTGACGGCTCAGTATGAAGTTGCATTTGGATGTGAAATAAAAAAAGTCATCCTGGAAAGTTCTGAACGCTCCTCGGCCCCATGTATAACAACTCCCTTGAAACAAAGAAGGAAAGAATGTTGGGGTACTGATGCTACAGGGGTAAGAATTTCTACATGAATAAGGTTGAGTCAGATGCACAAATATGTTAAAAGAATGAGCACTAACCAACACTGCTGTGTGGTGGTGTATCATCCACAGTCCTGGGAAGAATGGAATGCATTGAGCCATCCAAGCCTAATTTAAAAAGAGACATATAAATTGAAAGTGTGAAGTACAAAATCATATTTTATTTTGGCAATGAATACATTGCTGTCTAAAGGGATTCCCTTGAAATCTCATTGTCCTGTATCTATATTTTCTTGTTACAATCAAATGTATTTCAGAGTCTTCGATGCATAGAGCCACAAATCTGTCTCTGCTGTTACTTCCACATTAAATCAGTGACTGTGGTCCAAGTAGAAATTGAAATCAATCAGAACAAGTGACTCTGTTGAAGACATACCTTAGAAATGTGAACATTTAAAGGAAGCAATTGCAGGAGAAGTTCTGGCTCTTGTTTTAATCAGGTCTCTCAAATAACCTTAATGGGTGGAATCTTACAAAGGTCTGAGTGCTGTGGGTATGGTGAGATCTGTGAGAGAATTGGGTGAGAAATCCAATGAGGCATAACTCAAGGTCAGAAGCATTTCGCTGCATCTTTATTGCATTCACTGGGAGGTATGGTGAGTTTCCCAGCATCTCAGGGAATGGTCCATGGGCACTGGCTACATATACCCTATGTGTATGGACATTGCCGTTCATCATGTGCTGAACTCCAACAACCCTCGTGGGACGTCTTTGATCCATTTAATGGACAGCACTGCACTTCGATCTTCCAATATAGGCTGCACTGGCAGCTATCATTGTGATGCTGCTATAAAAGTCATTGTGTGGTAGAACATAGATCAGTACAGCACAGTACAAGCCCTTTGGCCCACGATGTTGTGCCAACTTAATATTCTACTCTAAGATCAAACTACCCTGCATACCCTACATTTTACTTTCATTCGTGTGCCTATCCAAGAGCTGCTTGAATGTCCCTAATATATCTGACTCCATCACCACCGCTGTTAGCGCATTCCACACACCCATTACTCTCTGTGTAAAGAACACATACCCAGCTCATGGACTGAACCAGTTACATCTTCAGGATCTTCATTTGCTTCATAGCGCTCACTTGCTCTGAGCCCACCTAGACATTTAGTCCATCTCTGCCTTGCCTTTTTGTGTTTCGTTCCTTCAGCCGTGGATACTAGGCTCCACTTAATTCTGCCTTTTCTTGCCGTTTAGCACATTCTCAAAGCTCGGATGCTAGTCATTGTTATCAGCAGGCCTTACTCAAGCAAGAGAGCTTTTGCTTAGTGGGTCCTGTCGGGATTCTGGTTGTGATCAGTAAAACTGCTGATGTTTGGGTGGTTTGGATCATCCCAGGATCCCTGGTTCTGACACTGGACCGAATTTAAGAATGTGAAGTGAAGAAGGTAGTGGGCAGGTGTTTCAGGGCAAAGAATCTCTGCATTTATTAATTACAAAAAAAGATGAATATATTACAAGAAATAAAAGGTAAATACAAAACAATGAAATTGACATTATCAATTATACAGAAGACAGTACTTAAATACACTATTAAATTAAACACAGGTTAAATACTATTAGAAGCTAAACGGTAGTTTTAATCACAGACACTTTAATCAGATTTCCTAACCTTGGGGTGCCCTGCACTGTCACCAACCCACCTTCCCCTCCTTACTAGCTAGGTTGGATGGAGTCGTTGGTTGGTTTGCCGAGCTGTCTGGTTTTTGTGCAAACGTTTCGTTTTCTCTTCTAGATGACATCTTCAGTGCTGTCTTGTCTCTGTTGAAGCACTGTTGTTCTGCTCCTTTCTGAATTTATAAGGTCCGGTCTGTCATGCTGGGTAGTTCTGTTTCCAGTTTTGCTCCATAGTGGTATGTAGATGGGGTCTATTTCAATATGTTTGTTTACGGTATCAGTGGTTGAAAACCAGGCCTCCAGGAAATCTCGTACTTGTCTTTGTTTTCCTTCTCCTAGTACTATCACGTTGTCCCTGTTAAACAGATGTCCTTCTTTGTCGGAGTGAGTAGAGACAAGGGGTTGTTGGCTGTGCCGTTTTGCTGTGAGTTGGTGTTCGTGTATCCTGGTGGCAAGGTTCCTGCCCATCTATCCTATGTATTGCTTCTCGCAGTCGGCTCTCACTTTTGGCCTGCTGGTTGTGGGTATGGAGTCTTTCGTCTTTGAGAGTAGCTGGCAAAGTGTGGCTCTTGGTTTGTGTGTTATCATTGTTCCAAGAGGTTGTAGGAGTGTTGTAGTGGTTCCGATATGTTTCTAATATAGGGTAGGGTGGCCAGTGTGTTGGGGGGTACAGTGTCTTCTTGGTGTTGTTTATTTGCCAGGCATCGGTGGATGAAGCTGTTAGGATAGCCATTGTTTGCGAAGACTATGTATAGGTATTCCTCTTCATTTTTGCGTAGCTCCAGGGTGTTGCAGTGAGTTATTGCTTGTTTAAACAGAGTCTTGACACAGTTCTGTTTGTGGATGCTGGGGTGGTGACTGTTGTAATTCAGGATTTGGTCTGTGTGTGGTCTGGTAAGGAATTCCCCTTTGTTTGTTCATTTCACCATTACTTCTAAAAATGAGAGTTGATTGTTGTTCTCCTCTTCTCTGGTGAACTTGATCCTGGTGACTATGCTGTTAATAAGGTGGTGTGTTTCTTCTAATTTTGCTCGTTTAATGATCATGAAAGAATTGTCCACAGGGCGGCACGGTGGCTCAGTGGTTAGCACTGCAGCCTCACAGCGCCAGGTTCGAACCCAGCTTCAGGCAACTGTCTGTGTGGAGTTTGTACATTCTCCCCGTCTCTGTGCAGGTTTCCCCGGGTGCTCCGGTTTCCTCCCACAGTCCAAAGATGTGCAGGTTAGGTGGATTGGCCATGCTAAATTGCCTGTAGTGTTCAGGGATGTGTAGATTATGTGGGTTATAGGTGGGATGCTCTGAGGGTCGGTGTGGACTTGTTGGGCCAAAGGGCTTGTTTCCACACTGTAGGGATTCTATGATGATGATGCTGATTCTGTGATGATGAGGTACCTGACCCATCGTTTAGGCCGGATCTGAGGGTGGGCTATTCAAGTCTTTGAATAACTGCTTCCGCTGTAAGACCTGAGATGGGTGAACCCATGGGTTTCCCAGTAATTTGCTTATATATCTGGCTGTTGAAGACAAAGTGCGTGGTAAGGCATAAGTCTAGTAATTTCAGCATATTGACCTTGCTGATGACTTCATCACTGAAGCACTGAAGATGTCACCTAGAAGGGGGATTAAACGTTTGCACAAAAACCAGTCAGCTCAGCGAACCAACCAACAACCCGAGCTACAGATCTTTGCTAAAACATTAAGCTAGGTTGGCTACTTTGGGGATAAATGCGTTTTGAATTACAGCTGGCTGTTGCCGCTTGCTGTAGCCAGTGCTTTGCTGAAGACTTTGAAAAGCGTAGGCCTTCAGTCTGGGTTAAGACGTGCTGTGGATGTACCGGCTGAGTACTTTGGTTTTCTTACATTTTGGTGGGTTTTGTGAGCAGGTTTTCTCCTCAGGATGTTGATCAGGTTGGTGGTTGTTTTGTCTACAGGTTTTGTTTGGTCACCAGTGGTTAGAGATGGCTGCAGGTGGTGTTCTTGGTATGGGAGCTCCCTGGAGTCCTTCTCCTGTTGTTTGCCATGGGGAATAGCTCTTGAAGCGGATTACTGTTCTTTCTTCTCTCTTCTCTTTTTCTGTTTTTTTTACAGGTGAGATCAAGGCCTGCAATTATACTAAATTGCAGGTTTCTTGGCGCCAAAATCTGTGCTTTCCAATTGTTTTACTGTTGCCCCGTTTTGAGGTAAATTGCCTTCCTGATAGTTTAGGGTAGGTGCAAATGTATTTCGATTAGTTGGAATGTACGGTATTTCTTCTAATGAGTATAAATTGAAATTTGATGTCTTAGTATCTGTAAAGGCTCCACGACGTCTGGCACGGTGGCTCAGTGATTAGCACTGCTGCCTCACAGCGTCAGGGACCTGGGTTCAATTCCACCCTCGGGCGACTGTCTGTGTGGAGTTTGCACATTCTCCCCATTTCTGTGTGGGTTTCCTCCAGGTGCTCCGGTTTCCTCCCACAGTCCAAAGATTTGTAAGCTTGGTGGATTGGCCACACTAAATTGCCCATAGTATTCAGGGATGTGTAGATTAGGTTGGTTATAGGGAGATGGGCCTGGGTAGGATGCTCTGTGGGTCAGTGTGAACTTGTTGGGCCGACGGGCCTGTTTCCACACTGTGGGGATTTCATGATTTCATTTCAATGTACCCTATAAAGAGGCGGGCATAGCTTGGACCCATGCAGGTGCCTATAGCTACCCCTTTAGTTTGTTGGAAGTGGGAGGAGTTAAAGGAAAACTTGTTGAGGGTATGGACAAGATCCATTAGGCAGATGAGGGTGCTAGTGGAGGGGGACTGTTTGGGCCTGCGGGATAGGTAGAAATGGAGGCCTTTTAGGCTGTCTGTGGGGTGGGGGATATAGGTGTATGGGAATTGGATGCCCATGGTGAAGATGAGGTGTTGGGGGCCCAGGAATTGAAAGTCTTGGAGGAGGTAGAGGACATAGATAGTGTCCCAAATGTAGGTGGGCTGTTCCTGGACCGGGGTGAGGAAAGATGGAGGTCGAGGTAAGTGGAGATGATTTCAGTGGGGCATGAGAAGGCAGGGTTGACAGGGACAGTTAGGTTTGTGGGTTTTGGGAACGAGATAGAAGCGGGTGGTGCAGGATTAGGGAATGATGAGGTTGGAGGCGGTAAGTAGGTGGTCTCTTGAGGTGATGAGATTATTGATGCTCTGGGAGATGATGGCTTGGTGATCAGGGGTGGGGCCATAATCAAGGGGGGTGGTAGGAAAAGGTGTCAGAGAGTTGGCACCTGCCCTCCACCATGTCGAGCTCAGTACACCATAGCACCACTGCGCACCCCACCCCCACTTATCGGTGGGTTTAATGGTGAAGTTAGGGTTGGAGTGGAGGGCTGCACGTTCTGTTGGGGAGAGGTTGGAGTGAGTGAGGGGGTGGAGAGACTGAGGTGATTGATGTCGCGACAGCAATTGGAGATGAAGAGGTCTAGGGAGGGTAGGAGGCCTTGGTGGAAGTTGGGTTGAGTAGCAGAGATCAAGTCAGCCTGCAGCATTGGAGAGAGGTTTGTGGCACCTATGCTAAGGGGGTGGAGAAAGTCTTTGACCTTCTTCCCTCACTGCTGGGCCTTCATCCAGGTGGTCCAGACTGCACTCGCTAAGGTTGACATGGTTGTAGTGTAAAGACCTACTGGTCCTGAGGAAACAGGACATCTCCTGGATGTGCCAGCTGAAGGACATCCAGGACCCTGCCTGTAAAGCAAGGTGCCAATTTCCCCCCGTCTGCCATGTCTGGGGCAATTGGACAGGGCAGCCGTGGCCTGATAGTGCTTGTCTGGGTGTACAACAGCTTTTTAAATATGGTGGAGGGGACAAGCCATATCGCTTCTTTTGGCAGATACGTGGTGAGTATCAGTTGTTCTGGGAACAGTTTGTGGTAAAATGGGAATAGAATTGTATGTGAGTGATGCTATGGGGCAGGGTAGGTAGCTAAAGGGGTGAGTTGAGTAAGAGACAGTGTAAGGCCTCTGATGAAAAACCTGGCACAAAATGCACTCAACCAAAACAAAAAGATTGAGACCAATACTTCTGTTGTGCTTCAGTCTTATGTTATTCCATGGCAAAAAAGACTGCATATGGGATGCCTTCAAAATTAAACGATCTGCAGAAGGCAGTGTTGAATTCTTTTGTTCAATACTTTGTATAATATTGTTTAGATCTGTTGATGCCAAAATCTGAGCTACTGAGTTTCTTTTCTTCTTTCCATTCTAACTGGTTATTTTCAGCGTATAATTTGGTGCACCCTTCTCCATTTTAACTTTTCCTCTTTGTAACTTTACAGCAAAATGGTATAAGAGTTCACAAGCAAAATCCCAAGGCCACTCATAGGACTCCAGTTGTGGTTCAAGCAGAGGTCAGCCAATTGGCAGAGATCAACCAATCAGCATGGATAAGAAGGAAACATGCCTACAGATTCACTAGGGGAATCATAGGTTTAATATTTGCAGTTCAGCCTCTTTGTAAACAAACACAGCTTAATATGCCAAGTATAATAGATGGTCAGATTCATTGTCAAATTGAATGTCACATAGAAGTGCAATGAAAACAAAAATCTCTGATATTCAATTTGAGCTCCAGCAGGGCCACTCAGCTCCTGACCTCAATACAGCCTTGGTTCAAACATGGACAAAAGAACTGAATTCCAGAGGTGAGGTGAGAATTACAGCTCTTGGCATAAAGGCTGCATTCGACCAAGTGTGGCATAAGGAGCTGTAGCAAATCTGGTATCAATGGGAACCCTGTCAGTCATCTCAGCTCTAGGACACCACTGCAGGAATTCCTCGGGGCAAAGTCCGATTGAATCACCTTCTACTGCTTTGTCAATAACCTTCCCTCCATGCTAAGGTCTGAAGTGAGGATGATGGCTGATTATTGAACAGTGTATTGCACCATTCATGACTCCTCAGATACTGAAACAACCATTGTCCATGTCAAGTAAGACCTGGACAATATTCAGGCTTGAGGAAATTAAGTGACTAGTTACATTTGCATCACACAAGTGACAGTCAGTGAACATCTCCAACAAGAGAGAGACCATCTCTGCTTGATATTCAGCAACATTACCATTGTTAAATCCCCACTACCAACATCCTGAGCTTTACCGCTGACCAGG